AAAAAAAAAAAAAAAAAAAAAAAAAAAAAAAAAAATTAGACATCCATAATTTAATTTACTTTAATTTGCTGTGTCTATATATCTTGGTAATTCTCCATACATTTGGAAATATTATATATTTGTATGCATACAAAAGAATAAAAAAAATCAATTCCCAAAAAGACTTCACTAATATCTAGTCGAAGGGAGATGGGCTTAGAACCTAAGTGGTTGTGTAGGTCAACATAAATTCAAAAGATCTATCTCCATACATATAAATCAGCTCTGAGATCAGTGTTTAATATAAATCAAATCGTAGTTCCCCAACTTCTACTTTTCTTAATGCAGTCTAGGAGCTCTGAGCCATCAAAAGAATTGTATTTTGCCACAGCTGCTTTAGATGTCTTTGGACACAGAGTCACCCTGTGGCCATTTTAAACAAACTAGCTAATCAAGAAAATGCTCTATTCATTAAATACACATGCCACTGGGGAATTTAAAAAAAAAAAACACTCCTAAGACAAATTGATTGATCATATTAAAATAATTGGTCATAGTAAGAAGGCAATATATTCAGCAGCCTGTGGAAGTCAAAAGAGGTGGGGTTGGGTGCAGAGATCATAGACTAAGCCAGGACCCAGCCTGAGCTTTCTGTCCACAATTCACCACCTATAGCACCTTAGCAACACCGTTAGCCTCTCTATAGCTCCATCTCCTCAACTGCAGGATGGAGCTAGTGATAGCATTGCTGGAACGATCAAGAGGCAATGTGTGAAGAGTATTTAGCAAAGTATCAGCTTTGGCTTATTTTTTCAACAATGTCACCACCATCATCACCAAGCACCATCGCAGGAATTTGTGAATCTTTCTGTTCACAGGTGTCAACAGATTTCCACTATCTGTTTGCACACTTATTGAACGCTACTGTCTGTCACCACTCCAAAGCTGGGAACAGCCCTGGCTTGCACCTGTCTTACCTAAGGAATTTCTTGAGATACTGTCGGCTACAGGAAGACCAGGAAAACACCCCATTGTTTCCGGTCAGCGTGGGAGACATGATGTTGCCCTCGGCCTTCCTGCATGGATTGCCTTCCCCATCGTGAATCATGCCAAAGCTGAAATGAAAGAAATCCACAGTTATGTGCACCCATGGTCCACACGGCAACCAGCCCATGCCAAAAGATGGACTAAGCGTCTGTGGACCCAAGGTGAGAAACAGAGTTACCGGACTTGTAAGAGAGAGAAAGACATAAATGAGTTGCTCTAAACTGTTATATATTTTAAGCAGATAATTGTGTGTACATGTGTGGTACTGGAGACTGAACCCAGAGTTTCTACATTGAGCTACACCCCTAGCCTTTTATTTTTTGAGACAAGGTCTTCTGAAGTTCCTAAATTGCCCAGGCTGGGCTTGAATTTGCAAGCCTCCTCCCTCAGCCTCCCAGGGTGCTGGGATTAGAGACATGTATTACCACATCTGACTTCATCCAGAATGTGTTAAAGAATGGTAAAACTTCACTATATTATTTTTTTGGCCACAAAATCAAAGAATGGTGGGTCTGCTACACATTTATTGATGGATTTTTCGAAAGAGAGTCCCCCTAGGTAGTTTATGCTGGCCTCGAACTCACTACGTAGAACAGACTTTCCTTGAATTTGCTGCATGCAGTCCTCTTGCTTCAGCCTCCCAGAGTGTTGGGATTACAGGCATAAGCCACCACATCTGGTACCTGCTGTACATTTTAAGGGTTAGAAAATCTTGGTCAAGATTTCTAAGCTAAAGTGATAGGTTAGTAAACCTTAAAAATTTTAAATAGTAAAATGTTTTTTCTTGACCCCAGTGTTAGAATGATGGTATGGAACCTTGAGATCAGGAGGTAGGTAGGGAGAGAAGGTAATTATAGGCTATTTATGGACTGTCCATATGTAAGTCTACCATGATATAAAAATATCTTTCCATAGTGATCAATTTACTAACTGGAAATCCCAACCTCTATTTATAATTAAATTCCCTTACCATAATACCTTTAAAACTTAATTGTTGAAACCATCTTTTGAAGGTATATAAAGGACTTCTTTAAACATAAGAAACTTTAATTTGTCCCAATTCACTGCAAAATGTTCTAGCAACTAAAGACAATTTTCAGTGATCTACTCTCTAGCAATTATGCACAATTTAGATTATTGTTAATCTCATTATGTGAACATGTAAGGGCAGACATGAACCTTGTAGAAATAAATACTTTATTCTAATATAATTTCATTTACATATATAGCTACCTTTTGAAGGCAATTTATACCAAATAAATATGCTATAATCATGGATATGATTTTTTTGTGATCCATATATCCATAATCTAGACATTTTTCCAACATTCCTTCCAATTTACCAGGCAAGCAAGAAGGGATGGCTGTACACCATGATCCTATCAGTGAATTCCCTAGGTTTTAAAGGTGACCATTAACAAATATTTATTAATCTCATCATATAGTCACCCAAAGCATTTTCTCACCCTCAGTTTCTCCCAACTCAATTCTTTTTTATACCTAACCAGCAAGCTCAGATTTGTTTGGGAGAGTCTCTCTCAATATATTGATGAAAGTCAAAAAACAGAGGGAAATTTATAAATATAAAGCCAGAATTCCAGAAACCAAGATGGGGCTGAAGGCATTATTCAAAGAGGTAAAGTCTTTAGCATCCCCTAAGGTGGTATGCCCAAACAGAATTGCCCCTTAAAGTAGTCATTTTGTAAAGCAGTATGCTTATTTGAATGCAACTGCTATTGGTCAAATACTATTAAAATTTCTCTGTAGGGGCTGGGGATTTAGTTGAGCAGCACAGTGCCTGCCTGGCAAGCGCAAGGTCGTCGGTTCGATTCCTGGTACCGGGAAAAAAAAAAAAAAAGAAAACAAAAAACAAAACAAATTTCTCTGTAGTATTGTCTCCATATCAAATTCTATGCCTAGTAAAATGAATAAACCTCATTCCTCTCATTCCTCATTTCTAAGTCTATTCTCACCAATGATTTATTAGCATTAGCTAAAAGACTATTAAGTACACACAAAGTCACCAGCAAAAAAGAATATCTGGTATGTGCAGTAAAAGTTTTAAAGATCAGCATGCCAAAGCATTCTGGGAATTTATATGTCTCCACAATTCATTTTTTTCATATAAAGAATGCTCAAAGTATCTTTGCTGAAGCAAAACACAAAGGAAATGCCTGCAAGACCAGAAAATAGGTTAAATAATTTGCAGTCCATTGGTGAACAGTATCACACGATGCAACATAAACTGTGACATCAACAATACCTGGCCCTTCCTGAGCACTTCCTTTCAGTATATTAGTAATTTTTGTCAGTATATGAGTAGTACATAATGTTTACATCCGTCTTAGGGAATAGTACATGTACTTAACATACCTTAATTCTTTTTATTCCCCTTCTCCTCTCTCTTTCTCTCTCTGTTTCTAGATTCCCTTCCCATTTGCAGAAGATCGAGCTCCCTGTTTCACGTTATCGTTAATTTACTTTATAAATTATTTACACTTTGGGTTCCTGAGCCCTTCTTATAGTTGGGCACTGTTCTTGGCTTTACAAAGACTTACCCTATAGCCTCGACCTAGATCAATAACAATTGAAAATCATCATTAGAGCAACGCCAGTGAGTCACTCGGCCAGATTTCACTACAGGGGTGAATCAAGGAGCCACTCACTTGTGCCCTGACTCGTGGGCAATGGTGAAGGCCAGGCCCAGTCCCGTGTCCTCATTGATGGTGCAGCTTCGGTACTTACTGCACATCCCGCTGATAGGTGCAAACCCTGTGGGGAGATCAGATTCACAGGTTAATCCAAAGAGGGCACACACACATACATGATCCGTTTTCTTGTCCTCAAAATGCTCCATGTGGTTTTTTCCTAATGTGGCAATGCAATTAATTTTTTTCAGGTGAATACTAGAGGTATAAAAGTCAGTACAAAGCAGCACTTCATGATTTTTCCTGTGTTTAGATATTACCACAAATTGCTCCTCCAAACAACCTGGGGAGGTCAGTAGGCATATTGTTATTCACATTTTACATACAGAAGACTAAGTCAGGAGATTTATATATATGCCTTACCTATGTTTATTATTTGATTCAAGCAACTGATCAAATGATGGCTACACCATGACATCATATTTAACAATGGCATTATTGTCAAAATGCAGGATGCGTTTCAGTGGGAAAACACACATCCTCTTTTATCTCTACAGCAGAAAGTATGGAAAGGCCTAGGCAGTCTGTGTAGATTAAATTGATTTTTTCCTCCTACTCACTATAATGTGGTAAGTGTTCCCATTCCCCAAAGTTACTTCTTTTCAAGAGCAATTGCAACATCATTCCACTGGGCTAGGGATGTAGCTCCAGGGTAGAGTGTCTGCCTGGCCTACACAAGGCCCTGATTTTGATCCCCAGTACTGACAAAAATCATTCCAGTGAGCTCTCCAGTCACTCTTGATCCCCATTACTGTGTGAATATATTCCTTCCGATTTGCATCCTAATAATCAGTAGAACAACGTTAGGCACCCGAGCAGCACTAAGTTCATGCTTGTGAATGGACTGCACCTACTCAATGCCAAGAAGTGAGAGCATCTAGGGAATCTAGTGCTACATGCACATCGCGAGTGGTACCACCATCGTCACAGACATCATCATCATCATTATCACTAAATGAATGGCTGCCACACTGTGCCTCTACTATAGGCTTAGTGTGTGCAGCTAATTACCAATTAGGAAACTGAGACTTGGGTGAGTCTATCTGCTTAAGACCACAAAGTCACAAATTCTAGAAATCAAGCACAATATATCTGAAGCCAAAGCCCAAGCCCTTTGCATTAGAATGTGCTGCTTACAATGAGTGACCTATAGGATAGCTGGTGGGATTCTTGGGTTGTATTATTTTTCCAAGTCTCTCCTTATACTTTGGTCTCTGAATGGATGATAAAATTTCTGCCTCAGAAATTTTTTAACACCTCAGTAATGTACTGAGTTATTAAATATCACTTTGCACAATCTGCACTCAGAGTATAAAGGGATTTTAAAATTCATTTTTAAAACCAATTCCTATGGAACAAATCCCCAAATGGTTGTACTTTTTGCTATTTTTTTATTAAAGAGAATTTTTAAAAATCAGAACAACAACATAGAAAACAAAACAACACAAAAACAACAAAAATGAGACAGACTTTCAAAGCAAAATGATAGGAATTAGCAGTGATTGTTATAGTACATACTGTTATCTTCAATAAGGTTGCTCAGATTACCAGATGTAAGAATGCAAGATTGATCAAGCCATCAAAGAGAATAAAAAATAATACTAATAAACATTAGAAATGATAAAAGCTTCATTAAACAAGATGGTAGGAATTCACCAAAGGTTGTTATGTTGCATATTGTTGGCTTCAAGTTAATTGTTCAGATTACCAGACATAAGCATGCAAAACCCGCAGGTGTAAACATCGTATTGTCTGCCTAGTGTGAGAACCTGTAAGAGTAAATAAAACCCAAAACGTGCAATAGATATTGTAAAAGGGAAAGAAACTGCTCAAGGGGAAGGAACAACTGATGAGGAAAAGGAGAAAAAGAAAGAAATAGTTGTACTTTCTGAAGGCTGTAATGAATGGCAAATGACTAATGTAGACCTATTTTATAGGCCATAATAGAGACATTACAAAAAATTGGAAGCACATAAAAAATAAAAGTTTTATAAAGTCTGGTCTACTTTTATCTCTAGTATATCTTAAGGGATTTGAAAGCACTTTAAAGGAGAGAATTATGGGGGCAAATCATATAAATATTTTTCAGCTCCCCCTAAATTTTACCATTAGTCTGAACCTTCTGTTGTATTAGTAAACCATGGCTTCCATATCATGAAATTTTGTCAATAAAGTTTTATTAGAATATAGCCATACTCATTGGTTTGCGACTGCCTGTGGTTGCTTTTGCATTTATATAGGTAATTTAAATAGTTGCAACAGACCTGTGGCCTTTTACACAGAAAGTTTTGCTGACCTGTGATCTAGACAATCTTCAGTTCATAAAAAATTAATAAATTCCTACTATGTACAATGAAATATATTAGAAAATACAGCACAGATGTAAAGGATACCACCCTTACTCTTAATGCTTTGTACAAAAATGAAAGAATTGAATCCTTCAAAATCAAGTACCTTCCCCAAGGAGGCACTGCCAGTTAGTGGCACGGCTGGAAATTATCCAATTTCTCTTCAGATACATGGTTCTGTGGTCATGATGCTTATTGAACAACCTACAACCTGTCCAGTTAATTCAATGATCATCAATATGGTCAATAAAGACACAAAAATGATTAAAGCAAATGGGCTTCCCCCTCCACACTGGGTTCAGGTAAATACAACAGCATTCACAAAGCTATATGAGTATCCTCATGTAGATATGTTCACGTGTTGCTTAATGATGTTTCAATCAACAATAGGCTGCATGTATGAAAGTGCTCTTAGAAGAGTATGTTGTCTGGTGACACCATTACCACCTCAGTTTGTTTAAGCATACTCCAGCATGTTTACACAACAACAAAGCCACTTCTCGGAATGGATTCCCATCATTAAGTGACACATGACTGCATTAGGTCTCTTTAATAATCATCACAAAGGCCATCCACCCATGAAACAATTTCTCTATTGTGTTTTCAGCTAAGAGGACCTGTTCATACCATACCTAGAGTGTCACATGGTTCGTTCTTCCAGGAACAAATGTCAAATCCCGTGAGTAAGATGGCGTGGTCATGCCTCTTGCCGTTCTTTCCAATGAGGGCAGACTGCCACTGACAAAAACTATTTAGAGACTGATCTGCATGGTGGTTGATCAATAGTCCTCCCTAGGGGAAACCCACACAGGTCACAGTGTGATTTTTGACACAGAGATGAGAACTTTAAATGGTTCCATTTGTACAGTCAAACACAAAAACATCATGTTTCCAGGGGGAAAAGTCAATAGTACAAAACACTTGAGCTAAGGTAGGAAGAAAAAAATCTACTTAGGAACACAATATATTTTCAGTCAATGCTCGCAAGTTTTAAAACTACAAAGCCCCTATAACATGGTTTACAAACAAATATACTTCTACAATGAATAGCCTAACAGCAACTAGGAACACCTTTGTTCATGTGACCAGGTACCACCTGTACAAAACTGTTTTACTGTTACAACATAATAATAAATTCACGGTGATGAAGTTCAATAGTCTTTCCACTACAGGATGATAAAGAAGTGACTGCAATTTTCTTACCTCTATGTCAAGTTTGCAGCAAAGGGTTTGGAACACTATACTTCACCATCAATGCATAATCAAGACAATGAATGTCAATAAATAAATAAGCAGACAAATAGGTATAAGCCTGTACAGGGCAAAATGGGATTTAATTCTAACACAATATTTTATCAAAATGTTTGCTTCTCAAAATTATTGACCTGGGTGAAGTTAATAATTTCTAGACAAGAACTGTATCAGTAAATCAGGAAGGCACTGGCTTCCTTGTCCTGCAGCAATGTACGAATGGTAGGATAAGAGCAAAGGTGTCTCCAAAACAATACACATCCTTTCTATCTTTCTAAAATTCCAAGAATAACTAGGCAAGTTCTCAACCTCTGCAACTCTACACACTTGAGCAGCTAGGTGTGTTTTGAGAATTCCCTAAGTCCCTGCTGTGTGCATGCTTTATTGGGGTTAGAGAGAGAGAGGAAAAGCCATACGGAATTTAGCAGTCTGTTTGGTAATCCCTACCTCAGAAAAATACAGCTTAAACATCAAAACACTGCAAAGCACTACCATGCAATTCAGCACATTATTATGCGTTCCAGTTTACTAATTTGCCCTATGCCTGTGTCTTACACCTGCCTCTAACCGATTCAAGGGCAGTTAAGTATCTGTTTATTCTCGGGAGTACTTAAGATGGTGCTAGGAGACTAGAGGTTTAGGTCAAGAATTTTCTGATGACTTTCAGTGTATTTTCAAAACATCCCTGTGCATCTACTTGCAACTACTATCTCTAACTCACAAAACTTCAACTAGTCTTTAAATCTATTGAGGCCTTTATAATATTTATATATATTTTCATTTATATTATGTACACACCTAATATTTGTGTCATTGTATATTTATATATGTACATACTATGCACATTACTATATGATTATTTTGTGTTTAACTATTTGATTATACAGCTTTAGATGATGGTACTTTCCCCGAGGAGAGGGCAGAGTATCTCCCAGTTTGAATTTCTAATGACTAGTACACGGATCTGTACATAGTAAGCGTTCAACAAAGGGATGTTAAATGGCAGAAGGAATGAAAAAATAAATGAAGTTTGCCGCTTACAGGTTCTTGTTCCAGAAGAATGAGGCTGACCACTACAATGTTTATATCACTTCCAATAGTCCCATCTTTAAAGAGGCTGGAAACCTGTTGGAATAAGTAAAATCTCATAAAATCTCAAAACTGGCAAAACCATAGAGGGGAACCAATCAGACATAGGTCCAAGTATACAGGTTTCAATTTTACCACAATAAGTGTATCTTTAAAGGTGGTTTTCTCTACAGTCACTGGGAAACTCTGCAGCTATGTCTGCCAGGAGAATTTCTGCAGGGAACTTTTGGTTCCACAGGGAGCCAGGCGGGGCCGCGATCACCTCGCTCACCATATTCATGACTGTGAGGATGTAGGTGGTGACATTCCCCTTGCCGTGCTTTTCCACCATCTTCCTGTCTGCCACCACCAGGGTTTCCACACTGAGGCCCTTTTGTGACTTTCCGGCTGATCTTCTGGGCCGTCCTGAGCTCCCATATTCATCAAATCGTAAGTAGGTGTCCTCCGTGGGAGGCTGGGGGGCATCTGCCATGAACACAAGAGCATTTGGAAGAGACATCAGCAGGGAACACATGGGTGACATGGACAGAGAGAGATCTAAACAAGGGGAGCAGAGAAACTCTTGTTACCACACCTCAGTGGTGATGGACAGATGGATGGACAGATTCAGTAACTATGCCGTCCATGGTTTATTTTTAATCTTTTACTGAGTACTTGGATTACGATAAAGGACTTGCACTAAGCACTTTTTATTAATGAATACATAAAAATGTTAGTAACAAAAAAAAAAGATAAAGGAAAACAAGCTGCAATTGTAGTTGATAGAAAAGGTAGCTCAACAAAAAATCAGTTAAGGGGTGTTTCAAAAAGAAAATGCTCATTCTATTACTTGAAAAGTTGAAAAATAGACAGTATTCTGCAGGTCTATATTCATCTTTTAAAAACTGGTACTGAGGATTGAACCCAGGATCTTTTCATTGAGCCCTCGGTGTACTTTTACTCTTATTTAGAGGCAGGGTCTTATTAAGCGGCTAAATTGCCAGACTGGGCTCAAACTTGTGATCCTCTTGCCTCAGTCTCTTAGAATAGCGGGATTACAGGTGCGCAGTATGATGCCTGCATAAAATACATGAGATTGAATCCAGAGCCTTTGCAAGGAAACACATACCTCACCCTATTTTTCATTTTTTATTTTAAGACAGGGTCTTGTTAAGTAGGTAGATTTCCAGGCTGGGCTCAAACTGGCAATCCTCTTGCCTCAGTCTTCCTGAGCGCTGGGATTATAGGCATACAGTTATGATAATGCATCCCATAAATGATTTTCTGAATAAAATGTGAAGTACAAAACACTGCCCCTGTGTTATTCTTTTGTTTCATTAACACGGACTTAAATGTAGCACATAGTAAGTAGTCAATAAAGACCCTTCAAACTGATACTGACTTAGAGAAACAGCAAAGTCAGGTGATACTGAAGCAATATCAACCCTTTTCATAAATGGTCACTGTGGGCACCAACACCAAAGAGTGGACACTGGCGACAGCTGAGCTGTGAGATGCAAGCTCCTTTTTTTGACAGGGATGACACCACTAGTTAAGGAACAGTGACAACCTAAGGGTGCCTTGGAAACAAAAGACCATGTAGAAAGTTCAGGATTGCCCTGAACAAGTACAGAAATGGTTTAATGCTCTAACAACTGGCATAACTTTAACAGTAGTGCTAACTCTCCATGGAATGAAACTACAAGATTAAATCATCTAGATTTAATTGGAAAACTCAAGTTCACCACAAGTTCACAGATGACCCTGGGTCTCAGCTGCCTCTTCCATAAGAAAGAATGATACTCATTCATAAGATTGCCCCAAAGTTTGATGTCTCATATCAAATATATATCATTAGCCCTATAAATATCACTGCTAGCATTAATTCCACTATTATAGGCAGGTGCTATAATTAGTGTTAAATGGATGCCTTTCATGAGAATATTTCAACACCACCAAAAAAGAATTGCAACACCAGAAACACTGTCTTTCCTGGTGCTCCTGATTCACATTCCAGTGAAGTCAATTTCTTATCTCTGTGAGAGCGTTCTGTTTGGGTTGGGCTGTCCACTGAAGTACCATTTTCCAGTTGTGGCTATTGAGCCATTAACTGTGGCTGCTGAGATAGGTGAATTGAATTCTTCATTTCATTTAAGTTAAATTTTAAAATGCAACACTTGATTCCTATATTGAAAAACTTGGAAGTATCTTTTTATTTTATGGAAAAAAGAATACAAAATTTCATGACAAAATAATAGAAGTATAACAAGAGTTAACACGCTCTGCATTGTTATCTTCAAAGTAGTTACTCAGAGTGGGAGTATCTTGGGAACCTAGAGTGTATTAACCTACCTTTCAGCCTTAAATCTTATGAAATCTACAAAGCAGATTAAGTATTTCTGACAAAAATGTATCACCTGAATTGAAACTGAGCCACAAGAATAAAAGAAATACTGGGTTTCTAAAATGCGATGTAAAAAGAGACTATAATCGCTCCTTAGTAATTTGCTATATTCCTTTTATGTTTAGAGAATATTTTGTATGCAGTGTTACTAAATGTTACTAAAATTTAACTTTAAGAATGTGCAGAACATTTAAAATGATAATGGAGCTTGCATTATATTTCCGTTGGACATTGCTGGTCTGGAAGATGCAGAAGGTCGTACGTGGATCACAAAGCCTGTCCACAGGTCCCAGTTTTCCACAGCTACCTGCCCTCATGATCTAATATCCTTGTTTCCCAGGAGGTCTCTTCTTCCTATGCCCCAAAGAATACCCAACCCACACCTAAACATTTGCCTCTGATTTCTTTCATCTTTGACTGTCTTGATGCTTTCCCCAAGTACACAAAAACCAAGGTAAGACTGGGACCTGTGGCTAAAAATCAGAGATACTGAAAGAACAAAAGAGAAACCATCTCTACATCTTTCCTGGTCACCAGTCCCACTGATCATCCAGCTCCTGTCTGACAAGAGTGACTACTCAGTCCTTCTCCAAGACTACCCTGCAGTGAGTGCTAGGAACGACCCCATTTTAACCTGCAAGGTAGCACACCCAACAGCACTCAGAAAAACACGCCGAAGCCCATTTAAGAACAGAATGAGGAAATGTTTCCTTACATACATTTCTTGCGTTGTCCACAAAAATGCTGCTTTTGCCACCTTCGATGGTGGAACTCTGTCTCTGCACTCTGGGATGCAGGGGGAGTGTGACTTGGGGAGTGACCGGGGTAAGTCCGGCTGGGGCCAGGGTAGCCACCGTACCGCTGGACCTTCTCCTCTGCTGTCCTCTTGTACAGTATATGGGGATGGTGGCCCGCAGGGGTGCTGTAGTTGTGTTCCTGAGCCAACAGCGGAGGTAACGGTGAGATGAGGAATTCATTTTTGTGTGTCCTTATGAGACCTGACTAGAAAGCCAAACACAAAGAACACATTCATGATTCTATGCAGCCCTTTCCCTGGGTTGATTTCCAGCAAACATGCATTAACTACTTCCTGTGGGCAGGCACTGTACAAAATATGAGGTACAATCAAAATATCCCACGAATATTGTTTTTAATAATTTATTACAGTAAAAGACACTTTCCCATTAATTTCCCTTCAAAATACTTCCTCTGGCTTGGGACACACTTATCTCATCATCCTTGCCACTTTCTGAAGCAGTTCTGGAAGTTCTGTCTCCTGGGTGTCTTTTCCTGGCTCGCTGGATGTCTTGAGTGTAAAATGTTTATGGCAATTTCTGTCAAGAACATGACAGCATGTCCTCATCCACTTTATTCAGTGGATCTGGCCCCCTGCAGCTTCTGGATCTTCCCAAAGTCATAATAAAATGAAAGATAAGTGTTTTGAATCAACTCATCACATCAAGGCAGCCACAACAGCTCAACTAAAGACTCCGATGGAAAAGCACTTCCAGAACTGGTTCCAAAAGTTTCCAGAATGATGTAATAATTGTGTTGTAAGCGAGGGGGAGTATGTTAAGGGGATTCAGGGTAATGTGTCTCTTATTGTAATAAAATTTTTTTTAAATACTGTATTTTTATCCTGCCTAGTACTTTGCATCTATCATTTCATTTCTACCTGCACCATGACAAGCTGCCATCATCACTCCCATTTTACAGAGGGCAAACTGAGCCCAAGGTTGTACGTGGGAAACCCGTGTTGGCATTCTACCTCCTGAAGCATTATGTGTTACAAAGAGGCTATGGATATTTTTCTTTTTGGTGGTGCTGGGGATTGAACCCATGGCTTTACATATGGTAAGCACATACTCTACTACTGACCTACATGCTCAGCGAGGCCACCAATCTTGATGTGTGTCCTCGGAGGGCTGCTTGTTTATGTCTGGCAGTCACTCAGAAACACGGGAGTGAATAATGAATATACACCCTCCTAAGAGTTCATAGCATGGGTAGTTCAAAACAAAGGCTTCCATCTTGATTTCATAAATTCTAAAAAAATTTACCAATGGGGATGGCCAAGGAAGGAATGAAAGATTATCCCTAATTAGGGGTCTGAGGAATCCAATGAGCTGCACTATTACAAAGAGATACACTTGCTCAATCAAGAAGGAAGGAACATTGGTGGGTCCCCCGGGCACAATTTTGCCTTCCCAGCTCACGGCGCAGTTACATGTTGCACCTGGTATTGTAGCCAGTATGTGCCCTTGCCCTTCAGCACACGCTCTACTACCTTCTCTGGGCAACAGATTTCCCTGGCTCCCAGTCCTTGAGTGGAGAGTGAGATCTGAAGGCCGGTGCTTCAGCCTCACTTTGGAGCTTGTTAGTCACACAGATCTCGGGTCTCACCCTTTACCTGATGGAATCTCACTCTGCATGTGTGATTTGCATGCCCATCAACCTTTGAGGAGCACTGACACAGGCCAGTGATTCTTCAAATTTGCGCAACATTAGTATCCCATGGGTATCTTAAACAGATGCTCACTCTCACTCCCCCAAGTAAAACCCGACACCATTAAAATCAAAATCACTTTCCATGTGACTGGTAGAGCCGCCCTTTTTTTGTTAACCACCCCCGTGATTATTACAAGACACAAACAAGCCATGGACCAATGCATTAGGCCTTACCTTCAAGAGCAAAGTGAGGAAAACCCTTCCTGCCCTGACTACTTTACAAGGAGAGAAAAAATAACCACTGCAGAAGTCTTTCAGATACTCTAGACTGTAGCCCCTGAGATGACTGATGATGCTGATGAGTGACTGAATCAACAAATACTCACTGAGGACCAGCCAGGTGTCAGGCAGCAGGCACAAACTGTGCAGGAGAAACACAGTGTGTGGTTTATTGGGAAGACAAAGGAATGCAAGTCCATAAATATGCAAGGTGGAGTCTTGGGGCAAGGGCAGGCCACCATGGCAGTGCAGCTGAGCTGGTTCCTAAGCCAGGCTGTGGGGCCGGCAGGGTGGATGAGCAGCATCAGAAATGTCCACAGGCCTTGACTGAGCCCTGTGTTAGGGTTCTGCTTCTCATCCCTAAAGGAAATCCCCGAACAGATGGTCTGGCCTGATTTTCCTGCCCCCTCATACGTCTGGTGCTCTCTGAGAGACTGTAGTATAGACTACAGCACTGACATATCTACTACAGTCTGGACACCAAGACAGATGGTTTCATTTACCAAGCACATGCTGAACAACTAAAGCCTGGTCTTATCCTAGATATTGGCATTGAAAAACCCCACGCAGTAAATAAATGAAACAGTTTATATCCATGTCTTCATAGAGATTATGAGGGAAAAGAATCAATAGGCAAGATTAAAAAAATTTAAAATAAGTAAAATCCTACCATCATAGAAATCCTGTCCCATATCTCCAGGATGTATGGCATAGGAGCCCACCCTTCCACAGCTAGACTTAGCCATATCAGCAAAAGCTTTCCTCTCTCATTCTACCCTGTCTCCTAGGCCCCAGTTGTCCTGTCCAATCCAGTTTCCCCACATCAGCCGGATTATTTACCAACCACCAATCTTCTCATGTGCACTGGCATTAATCTCCTTTCCTAGCCCTCAAGTTCCTGAGCAATCTGCTCCCTGCAGACCCTGCTGGTTTAATCTGTCCCTGATCTCTCCTCTTTGTGCCTTCTATTTTGTTTTTTGTCTTTTGTTTTTTTTTCCCGGTACCGGGAATCGAACTCACAACATTGCGCTTGCCAGGCAGGTGCTGTGCCACTGAGCTAAATCCCCAGCCCTCTTTGTGCCATTCTAAACAGGACACTGCTTTCACTCTTTGCAGCTTCTCACTGACTTTTACAAACACTTCACCCGAAATTTTCTTCTCCAATCAACTTGCTTGGTTTTCTAGCACTCACTGCTACAGCCTTAGCTTTAACACCAAGTCTTCAGAGAAGTGGTGCTCATGGCCCCATTGAAAACTACTCTTCCCTACTTCCAAATAATCTCACACCACAGTTTGTTGGTTTCATGTCTCTTTCTGAAAAGGAAACGGACAAGATGCAACCCTCTCACCACTCCCCTGACCTATAACTTCCATCACACTCTGGCAGCCAGGGCCACACAGGCATCTCTGGTACATGTCAAATATCATCAGCCAATAAATATTTGCTTCTGAGCCTGCAGACATTTATCAGAGGGAGGGGATGCTGAGGGCTTGCCATTCCACAACTGGGAAGCAAAAAGTTCAAGATCAAGAAACACAGGAACTCATGCAGTACTTTACTAAAACCTCACAACTGGGGACCAGAAGTCTGAGATAGAAGCACAGGAAGAATTCAGGTGCCCCTTTCCCTAAACACGACTTTCTCATCCACATCCTGCCCACTCTCTTCCAAGCTGCAAGAGGACAAAAGACACCATTTACAGTCCCCCACAGATGGCGATTAGTTAAAAGAAAAAAGCAATGAATTATCCTTGAAAGCCCTCCAGCCTTACTAGCTTCCTTACTGACTTCAAGGAATATCAAAGCCTTAAGCCACTTAAGTGCTTTGACTGGACTAACCGGTTTGGAAGCTTTCTATTCTTCTCCTGTTTAATGAAAACTCTAGGCAACTTAAATGTACAGTGGAAATGTCTATATTGAAAAAGCAATAAAAAATTTATCATTCTACATTGGGACAGTCACACTAGCCGCATATATATCAGTTGAGTGTCAAGGACCAAAATCTAAAATAATTCTTTATAAAAATTGCGTATCATTAGGTACTAAGGAAGAAAAACTATTCCTTTTCTGGTTTAACTGGATGAAAAATAGTGAAATCCAACCACAAATATACATATTGAAACTAGAAGCCCAGTGTATCCAAAAGGAGCCATCTGCTTATTTGAAACTTCCCATTAAATGGGAAAAGTAAAGATTAAACAAGTAAATATCACAAACAAAAACAAAATAGCCTTGTGTGTACAGCGTGAAGAGAAAGATTAAGGTGAAGGAGCCAGAGGCACAGACTGGGTGTCATCATCTACTGGCTGCGTGCAGAAGATCCAGCTTACAATGACTGGTCCCATTATGTGTTTCCATCTTTTCCAGTTGTAAAGACAGGGAATTTATTACATTGTTATAGGCAGCTGAGTTAGATAGAAATATTATAGGAAGTCAGACAGCACCAGGCCCTTGAAGGAGCCAACTTGAAAGATAAGATATCTTGCAAATGGAGATGTATTTGCTGTGGGCCAGACCTCAGGACACAGGACTAAACAAATGCACCCAAATACCTTCCTAGGTGTAAACATCAGGGACTGCTATTCTAAATAGGTAGCAATCGCCTTCAAAAAGCTAGAAAGAGTCACTAGCCCAACCCCCTACAGGAAAACCCCTGTTCTGTATTCTTACCTGCTTGCTGCATGCCTCACTATCCCATTTGATCCCAATTTAATCAATTTTACCTGAACAATTATACTTGTAATCTTATTGGGTGACCATAGTTTTGTCCCACCTTATGCCCACTTTGTGGTTTCCCATTTTCCCCCTGTCTTGGACCCACCTCACCTTGTGGTTTTGCTCTTTAAGGTCCCTGGGAAGGGCAGGGTCCTTGGCAACCCACTCCGGCTCCCTTCTGTCCCTCTCATGGACAGAAACTTTCTTTCCCTTAATAAATATATTCTGCTCTTAACCTCCGTTGTTCCTAAAATTCAACTCGTCCCAGATATTGTTCAGGTTGGGAGTTTCTATTTTCCTGTATCAACATGATTTAGCACAGTTAAAAATTAAATGTATGCTTATAGCTCAATATTCTACCTAGAGATTTTACCACTTTATACTTTAAAAGGGAAGACAAGTGTGTTTCACTAGCAATTGTTTCTTATTTTAGATTTCTAGGGCAAAAATAATTCTCAGAAAACTCACATTGGGCATAAATGACCTTCATGAAATTCCCATCAATTTTTTCTTTAAAATATTCTACCTGGGTCATATTTCAATTCTATTAAAGTCTAAAA